GTCTGGGAGTATAAAGTGCTAATTATCTATATTATCTGCTCATTATAATACTCATTTGTGAAATCATAATTTAGATGACCTCTGATCAGAGATGGCAAAAGTACACATCCTTTACTCAAGTAGAAGTACAGATACTGGTGTTTAAAAATACTCTGGTAGAAGTACTGACTAAACTTCTTTACTGAGAAGTATGGGCTTCGAAATGTAAATGTAAAAAGTACCCATACAGGGATGCAAACTTGTCACCTTTCGGCGAAATTCGCCGTTTTGATTCCAAAATAGGTCGTTTGTGTGATTCATGTAGATCTGCAATAAAAATATTTTTGGGGTATGGGGGGGGTCTGGGACCCGGAGTAATCTGCGGCCGCGAGCTGTTATGTGCCATCATGACACGCATGGTGTTCTTTTTTTATATATTATAATGAAGCGCGAGCACAAGTCTTCCTGCCTGTCAGCTCTGCTCATGGATGTATAATAAGGCTCTGCTGCTCCGGGATGAGGGTCTAGCTTCAGCAGCTACATTACCTACGGTGCGTTCGTTAATATTAACTGTGCGGTCCAGAGTCACTGTGGCACAGACTGGACCGCTGGTTAGAACGGGGTGTTCGGAGCAGCAGAGCGTGATGTGCACTGAAAAGTGTTTCTGTCGCAATATTATTTAATGAATCGTTGAGCTAGCTAACTAGCATACATTGTCACTATCTGCTAACGTTAGCTTTAGCCTTCGTTTTCAAATAGTTTCTTTCATAGCCTATAAACGGAGGTGGTATAAGTATCTTGTACTTGAGTAAAAGTAGAAGTACTCAGATCTTGTTCTTGAGTAAAAGTTGAAGTACTCAGGTCTTGTACTTGAGTACAAGTAGAAGTACTCAGATCTTGTTCTTGAGTAAAAGTAGAAGTACTCAGATCTTGTACTTGAGTAAAAGTAGAAGTACTCAGATCTTGTACTTGAGTAAAAGTAGAAGTACCAGAGTGTAGGAATACTCTGTTACAGTAAAAGTCCTGCATTCAAAATGTTCCTCAAGTAAAAGTAGAAAAGTATTATCATCAAAATATAGTTAAAGTAGCAACAGCAAAAGTAGTCATTGTGCAGATTGGTCCATTTCAGAATAATATATATGATATGTTTTATAATGATTGATCATGAAAGTGTTCTCAAAGCTGGTAAAGGTGCAGCTAGTTTGAATGACTTTGTATACTGCAGGGTAGCTTGTGAATTTACTCCAGGTGGAACTAAAGTCTGATTTAACACTTGGTTATATTTCACATCATTCATCCACATCTGTGAAGTAACTAAAGGTATTCAATACATGTAGTAGAGTAAAAGTACACCATTTACCTCTGAACTGTAGAGGAGAAGAAGAACAAAGTAGCAAAACATTGAAATACTTAAATAAAGTACAAGTATCTAAAAATTGTACCCAAGTATAGTACTTGAGTTTATGAACTTAGTTACTTTACACCACTGGCTATAAAGATAGAAAGACAGCCTTGCACAGAGGCATGAAAATACATTTTCAAAATGCTCAACAGTCCTGCCAAAATTATAAACTGACTGCTCCACAATTAAAATAAATGCTTAAATATATTTCTATTAGATGTGACTCTTTGGCGTTTCTGTTATTATTAACTGCTGCTTTAGTTGTTCTGACTGCTAAAATCCTCTGTTATTCCTCATTTTAAAGCCGATATTCCGTGGGGTCGGGGAGCTCGGATCCTTGTCACCCTTTTCATACCTGATGAGTTTGCATCCCTGCCATAACTAGCAGCTGTTTTAAAGAGTACCTGACCTCCCTTTATATTAATAGAACAATAATGTCATTGTTAGCTAATGAATGTTTCCATGCTGAACAACGGCAACATGACAACGTTTTCATTGGTCCCTCTTCTTTAGAGAAGACCAGGAAATGATGGATACACGGATCGTGTTCAAATCAATAGGCACGCAATGACTCTAAATAATAATGATCACGCCACCAAACACACATTCAAACTAAAGGAACCAGCCTGTTTGGGAAATGTAAGAAGTAGAAAGTACAGGTATTAGTGTTCAAAATGTAAGAAGCCAAAGTAAAAAGTAGTGGAGTAAAGTACTGATACTAGAAAAATGTACTTAAGTACAGTAATAAAGTATTTGTACTCCACTACTTCCCACCTCTTTTCAAGGTTCAAGGCTTTTATTGGTGCATAGCTACAGTGTAGTTATGACGATGAAAATCTTAGGTCACAGACTCCTCCAACAGTGCAACACAATAAACCAGAAAAACAGCAAAAAATATGTCTCTGATTTGATTTTAAATGATTTTTCTGTTTCAGGCTAAATTACAAGAACTACTCGATGGAATCGCGGACTCACTTCCGGATCCAGGCAGCTATGCACAAAGCTAAAGGCGTGGCGGAGAACGGCCTCCATTCCCCGAGCAGCCCTTAACAGACAGAGGAGGGCCCGCCAGAGCAGACACAACCTTCTGTTCTCCCACAATGCAACACTCAGCCCACCCCTGCCCACATTATAAGGGCAGGTGATCTGTTTGGGTGCTGCCCTCTCTGTGTGTGGCCCTGTGTGGCTAAGGCAGGTTTGCTTAGTCCTCTTCTAGAGATATATTATGATGAAATCGGCTTCTTAGAGCGATTTGAAATAGAGACAAATGTGCCTATATTTATGAAACATTGCTTCTATAGCAGGCTTGTTCGTCTAGCACTGTGTTTCCACCCATAAGGGGCGCACTTGGGTGGGAAACCAGCTGTGAAGTAAATAAATACTGCTCCTCAATTATCCCCAGAATAAAAAACGTGCCCAGTTTAGGGTGCAGGGTTGGATCTAATGGAGTACCAAACACCAAATATATAGATTACTCATGCAGACTCCACCCAGCCACGAGAACAAATGTACCTGGTTGCTAAAAAATCTCTCACGCCCACTTTTAATTCCTGTAAAAAGGAGATTGGCGATCAAAATGACAAACAATTATGTGTTGACATCATGCAACTCACCGCATTAACCATGTGACTGTTTTGTACCATGTTATTTAATACATTCTGGTTGACAGGTTTCATCTATATTTAGATATTTTAACAAAACCAATATGACCTATTTAGAGAATATACATTATTTATATGTTGGTTTCACTTTTTACACTACATAAGCTTTTGTGTTTCTTAAGAGCGAGGGATTGTTTATTTTACATTTGTCTTCCTTTACTTGAAACCTTTTGAAACCTGTTTTCATATGTTCATTCAGTCTCCTTCTGTATTAACCCTTACATGTAATGGCTTTTGCACAGAGCTTTGTAAATCAGCCAAGAGTGAAAAGATGCAAAGAGCTGTTCTTTACATTGATATATTGTAAATGGCACCTTTTACACGAATTGTCCCGTTTTAAGAGGACAGATGAATGCGTCTTTTAGAAAGGCAGACTCCCTTCTTTTCTCCTCCTGGCGTTTGGGCCGGGCTCCAGCAGTACTTCAGCGTGAACAAACGGGCCATTCACCCCGAGCAGAAAAAAGGACCTTTGCTCGTCCGCCTGTTGCATCTTTAGTGAGTGAAGAAGCTCCGAACACAAAGCCAGAACAGTCTTTTTCGCTTTGAGAACATCCTCCGCTGCTCCTCCTCCGCTGCTCCTCCTCCTCCTCCATCAGCCATGCTCAACAACAACCTTCTATACAAGGACGTGAACATAATAACAACGCTCCTTTGTCAACAAAATAATCTGTATATGAAAAAAAACAACGTTTGTAATGACTGATGATACGACAGAAAAGGGTCACCTCTTAGTGGGGAGGTTTCGCTAAGTGTCCAAAACCTAGAAACTAAGATGGTGTCTCAAGTGTTGGAATTAGAGAAGTGTTGGTTTATTCATGATTAACGTTTGGGATTCAAGACGATGACTAGGAGTCGGTTTCAATTAATTGTATTGGTGAAGGAAATCTTCTTTTAACGTATTTCAAAATTATATTTCATTGTCTGATAATTAACTTAGCGAATTTTACTTTTTCCCCCTTTTGGTTTTGCAGAAATAGCTGAAAGAAACTCTTTCAAATTTAGTGGCATTGTGATGTTTACAATCAGCGTATTTTATCGGGCACGGCTATACTGTGCAGAATGACATTCCTGTACATACTGAATGTTTCTATTGTAATTTAAGATGAAATTATAAGCAACTTAAAAACAAACCATCTCATTTTGTGTTGTCTTTTTTGTCACCCGTGCACCACAAACAAAAGCACCAAATACAAAGTGTTCTGCACTGAAGGTTATTATTTACAGAACAAAGAGGCTCTGCAAATCTTTGCACACGTTGTTCTCATCTAATCCTCTAGAAACAGTGAGTAAGTAATCTCTTGTTGATATGCAAGCAATGGGAATAAGGGATAAGAACACAAGGGATATTGGAACAGTGGGCCTGAATCATATTTATTTGTAAATAAGCAAAGAAGACAAGAAAGAAAACCCTGAAATATCAGATTCAGGGTAGCTTTTTGATGTTTGAAGTGAAAATGTCAACACTGTTCTTGTTGTCCTTAGTTTGAATCTCTATGGTTTATTGCACTTATTGTACGTCGCTTTAGATAAAAGAGTCAGCTAAATGCTATGGAATAATGTAATGGTTTTATTCCCAAGTTACTTTAGTGTAAATGGTGCATACAAAGACACAGAAAGAAAGGAAAGGAAGCAAATATTACAAAGTCTTTATAAAAATAACTATTGTAACAAATAAATAAAGACAATATTTACACAACACATACATGCATTCAATGAGGAGAGCTGTCCAGATTTAGAATATCGTTTAATCATGGAATATTTTGAGCCCTACAATGATCACAGCATGATTTAGCAAGACTCATTTATCGATTTCCTCTCTGTTTACGTTTTCAGCGAAGGGCAATGTGTTCTTCTGATTGGCTGCCACAAAAAACCCCGTGTGGTAACTAAAAGCTCATTGGTCCGTGGGTACAAAGGGGCGGGGCTTCTTGTTGCTACGTCACCACCTTTTGTCGTTTTTCTTCAGCAGCTACTCTGCACTCGGGAAAGTCCCTGACAGCCAGCAGGGAGCTTTCCTCACAGAGAAAAACCGAGAGATAAATGAAGAATTTGAAGAACTTTTCGCTGCCTCTTGCAGATTTAAAATCCTGTAAGGGTTGTTTTTAGCTTTTAAAATAACCGAGTGCTAGCTCATTTTGCATGCTAGCTCCTCTTTGTGTGGCTAGTAGCTAGCTGAGGGATGTGTTGTCGTTGTTGTTGTTGTCTGGGAGAGGAGACCCGTCAGCTGTGCATGGAGAACCGCCTTCTAATCTGCTGCTGACATTATCTGGGAGAAGTACCCGCTGTGTAACCCTGGTAAACACCGAGAGAGAGGAGAGTTTTTGTTGGAAGGAGATGGGAAACTGTCTGAAATCTCCCACCTCGGATGATATTTCTCTGCTCCATGAATCCAGCTACGGAGACCCCGACCAGGAGCCACCGCCCCCCTATGAGGTAATTCCGAAACAGCCATAACATGACCAGTGTCTTTGTGTCCAAGGATTACAAAAATAATAATTATAGGGTGAGATTCAAAGGCTTTATTGTCAGTGGTGTTTAGGAACTAAGTAGATTGACTCGTGATACAAAGGCTTTATTGTTTAATGCACAGTAGATTCATTGTTCAAGATTCAAGGCTTTTATTGTAATTTGTACACAGCTACAGTCATACAGTTATGACAATGAAGATCTTAGGTCACAGGCTCCAACAGTGCAACACAATACAACAGATAATAGTGCAATAGAATAAAATAGAAATTGTGCTGAATAGTCTATATACAAGTAATTGGAATATTGATAAGTTACAACCAGATGAATGTTATGGATGTTCTTTCAAAAGTGCAGGTGTTTAACAGTCTTATGGCCTGCTATCTGTAGATATGGTAATGGGAATCTTAAATCCTAGGATAAATCCAACAACATAAATATATATAAGACATTCAACATAAAAAATAGTGACAGAATGACATGAGAAAATAAATAATGGTCCAAGTAGGTTGCAGGGCTAAGACAAATGTATACATGACCGAGACAAAAATTGAAATAGAATAAATACTGTATGCTTTAATACTAAATAAATAAAAATGTTATGTGTGGCAGATTTGGCCCTGTGTGCATATATAATTAAATCTTTATTGCCCCTAAGGGAATTTGCTTTGCACAAAGAGGACAAAAGAGTATCAGCAACAACATCATAAACCAACTATGATTAGCCTAATATATTATTTGGGAAGTAAATAAAGGACATCAGTTGAAAATGTATAAAGTTCAGACAAATGACCCCAAAGTGATCGGAGCTTGTTGAGCAGCTGTAGAAAATGTCTGATCTGACCCGTCACTGCCATGATACTAATCCGCTTTAATATATCCGAAGGTCCATTCAACGCGTACCCCTACCCTGAATACTTAGTGTGATTTACACTAACATGCAGCACAATATCAACACTTTCAATAGTCTTCATTCTCACAAACTGAACCGTGTATTAATTGTTCATTTATTATCCATATTGAATGGAGAGGAACTAAGCAACACTAATGTCTATCATGGCTTTTACTGTGCAAACAAACCCAGCTCTCCATTTAAAAGTAGGAGTTTGTAGTTGGGTATGAGAGTGGATCTCTTTTTTGTAACTATAACACTTTTCTCAGCTGTTTCTCTCGCGGATCCCCTGCTCTGGTTGTCTGGTGTCCGTACTTCCTGTATTTGATTGCATACAGACCAGGCCATGCTGTGGCTGTACATGTCATTTATGGTGTTACACTTCTCTTGTGTATATACTTCTATGTTGGTATGCGTTATGCAAGGCCTTGGCAGAGAGTTTGCCTGTTATTAGGTCAAGCCCAGCCTTATCTGTAGATTTAAGATAAGGGTTTTTTCAGCATGGGAAACCAAAGGTGGTCTCAGGTCAGGAGAGCCTATTATTATAGAAATATTACTTAATTATGTAAGTTTTACCAACAGAGAGGAAACATAAAGGGGACAATATGACCTACAATATGACCTACTACTGAGACAGTCTAAGTGTGGTATAATTCAAAGAGAAAATACATGTTTGATTCTCTATTCATAATAGATATGAACTGAAAATAAAATCATGGTAAGTTTTCAGATGACTTTTGAGATGTCAAACACAGATAATCAGTTTCCCTTTCAAAGATCTAACTTACTTTCACCAGCTGATTTGAACTATAACTGTCTGACTGGTGTTCGGCAACAATGGATATATCTTTAAAGAGTTCCTATTATGCTTTTCTTTTTAGGTTTCCCTTTCCTGTAGTGTGTTATATAGGTTTTAGTGCATGTAAATGGTCTGTAGAGACTCAAACCGGGAGTTTCCCCTGCCTGAAACGCCTCCATTGGACTCCTTTGTTTACATCGGGAACATAGTGACATCACTGTGTAACACTTGAGCTTCTCTGTTTGTTTGTTTTCAACATTAAAGCAAGTAACCTTGTCACAATAGACGCACAAAATACAAATATGAAAATGAAAATGAGCAGAATAGGGCTGCTTTATTCTTTTTGTTTATTTAAGTTGGACTTAAAAAGCTGAAATCACATCGACAGGAGGACACAGATTTATAATTATAGTTTCTAATAACTTAGTTTTAATATAAGTTAATTGTTTTACATATATTATGGTGCACATGGTAATTGAATACCAGTATGCCATTGTAGCTCTGAAAGAAAATTAAGTGGTGACGTTTTCATAATTAAAATATATTTCCAAATTCTTTAAATACACTTCTGATCATCTGGGCGAATACATATGTTGTCCCCTTCACAATAATAATAATAATAATCAAAAAGTGAGTGTTTGCTTTCACAAAAGAGCAACAAACCTAGGTCAGTGCATGCTAAACAAATACTTCCTGGTCTTTCCAAGTCATCAATCATTTCTGGTGTCATGTATCATCGTCGTTGTTTGTGCAGGTTCGCCACAACTTTGTCATGTCTGGCACACAGCGGGGTGTAATCAGACCAAAGCTCTGGTATCATAGAGGAGTGATGGTGTAACAAACATTGCTCAGTTTCTTTGGAAGAGCTCTCCCTAAGAAAGGCTGAGTGAGTTTCACAAGAGGGTTAACTGACTAGTTAAAAGCTACGTATAAAGAGCTCTTTCAGCCCTGCCAGCTCCTTCTCCCTGGTGACCGCAGTAATCAGCACCTTCACCATATGAACCCAGCCTGAGGACACACATTTCCTCTGTGCTTGCAGTTCAGATTAACCCACTTTGAGAAAGGGGGCTAAAGGCTCCACTATACTCAGCTTGAAGTTGTATGGACTAGGGCTGCACGATTTGGGGAAATAATCTAATTGCGATTTTTCTGACAGATATTGCGATTGCGAATCGATTCGATTTGCGATATTTGTTTTTAAGCGACCCAACGGAAGTTTATTGTAAAATGCAGCCATATCTCCGGCTAGGAAGGTCGCATCAACGTGCTCCCGTCTCTAGCAGCCCCGCAGCCCGAGCTACGAGTGAAAGAACTAAACTTACATGAAACTTCCGTTGGGTTGCTTTAAAGTCAAGCTTCAGTTTAAGATTCACCCTGTAATAGATGTAGAACATGTGATGGAGCATTACTAACCTGACTCAGGTGGTTTCACCAAACCATCTAGGAAAGCTCCATTGGAAGCCATTTGGAAAAGAGCAGCCACTTTCAAAAATACTTTGCAGGTGATTGGATCAATCTGTCTATCACCTTCTATCATGGGCCACTTCTGATTGGTTAACAATGGCTGGTACATGTGGAGCACAGCACTTCTTCGTTCAGCCCTAGTATGGACCTGCGTGTAAAGGCCAGAGTTCTCACTGTGCTTCATTCAAACAGGGAAGTTTGCAAGTTATGGTGAAAAACAAGATGCCAGCGACCCGACAAGGGATGGGAAACAAATCCAAATGTTATCAAAATCGCAATAATGCACTAGTGACTAGTCCATCTTCTGCCGCCTATCCATGGTCGATATAGAGGATTTCTTTCCAAGTTTGACTCACTCATTGCCTTTACAATCATTCCTAGCTGGAAATGATAAGTAGGCAAACTAGGAGCGTGGAGGCAGTGTTTTGTGTATCTTTGAATGACACTGACTATTTTAATGACGTGAATATCAATCAACGGCTTGTAAAAATGCATGCAGAACTGTTCAACTCTTCAGACGTCTGCTGAGGCAACTTGAGTTTACACCGATTAGACCATGTTTCCCAGGACAGTCAGCCGTGAACCAGAAAAGGATGAATTCCAGCCTCTGAAGCAGATTCCTTCCACTACAAAGGGTGCATTTGGTGCAGTTGAATCATTTCCTGGCTGGAAAGAGGCGGCACACACACTGGCATCTGCAAGAGTTCAAAACCAACTTCAGTCAAAGGTCAAACAAAGGAATTGGATTCACAGAAACTCCAACTTTTTACACAGATAGCTTCAATCTCTATTTGGAATTTTTATTATAATTATAGTACACAGGACTTTTGCAGAAGGGGACTTGTAAGGCAGAAAGAGAAAGTGAGGGGAAACTTGTATGGACATTGGAGGCTCATCATTCACCAGAACTCACTCAATGCTAAACAAAATCCACATTATTGATTCATAACATGTTTGTTTAATATATAATGTGACCAAGCAGCAAGAAATGCAAATAACTGCAGGTTTTTAAATGACCCTTCAAAAGCGATACCATCCCCATAGACCTCCATGTTCAAATGTCCAACTCTAAAACAAGTACATATGTTTACATCCTGGTGCGTAAACTATGTTGTTCTCTATAGCTTATGGGTGACTTTTAATATCGCTTATGTAAATGATGCCAAATTAGTAGGGTGACCAGCCGTCATAAAACATTTGGGACAGTTTTGGACCCCTTCCTGGATGTCCCGAAATGGGCGTAAACTATTTAGTTTTAACATTATATAATAGAAACATTAAATACCGATCACTGTGAATCATTGTTTTTCATTTTTGTCCCAAGATGAGCTCTGTTTTCTCTGTGGACTTCCTGATTTATTGCGGTTGTTGTAGTTTTCTAAGCTGGTTCAGTGGTGACAAGTATACAGATAAACAACTATGCAATGCAACAATGATGAATGAAATCATTGACGGAGGGAAATGAAGCCAGTCGCGCTGATATGGACAAACATTTTTTTTGCAGGTAGTGAAGAAGTGGGTAGGGAAATACAGTGGATCATAGCTGTCATACGAGGTCCAAACTCAGCGAAAAAGTCAGAGGGAAAGAACATGTATTTGTATTATTTATTACTACACTCAGTTGACATGAAAACCTGGAACTCCCATCCTGAATTTCACCCTTTTTCATCTGGTGGCGTTAAATGACAGGTGGTTAGCCGGCAAAGGTTGCTAACCGCTAGCTGTTAGCATTTTCGCTTCACCCAAGCCCGCCTCAATTACACCGACAACTTTTGGATACTCAATATTGCTACTGCTAATTTACCATTGTCT